CACTGTAAAACCCGATAAGTTCAGAATACTCAAAATTTTTGTGGACACCGATTACCTAAAAAAAATGTAATTAAGCAGCTCAAATTTTTTAAGTTAACATTAATTATAAATAACAATTAAGTAAAACTAAAAAGCTTACATTTGTTTTTGCTTAATGTTTAAGTGGGAGTGTACTTAAAATTATTGTCTATCATACGTAATGTTTTTCATTTACCAATTATTTTAATGCAGTAGTGCTTTATTAAATACAAATACTAACTAAACAAAATACACTTATGCATAAAAAACACGCACAACTGTGGCTATACAATTGAGGATTTTTTATTCAGCCTTTTTTAAACCGCATGAACTGTGTATTTCTGAATGTCAAACACTGGAAGATCATCTCATCACAACTGCAGTGCTTGCAGGACTTGTAGTGGTTTCGTTGTCCATGATAACAAAATCAGCAAGAGAGGTGTTTGTGTCAGTGATGTCTGGCTCGCCCAATTCCTCCTGGAATAAGCACAGAGGGTAAAACTTTAACTTTAACTTCAGAGACTAAAAGTAGACATTTATATTTACTGCCAACAGAGTGGGGAAACTACAACGTCAGAACCCAGAAGAGTAATTCGCCGTGGGTTCCTTCTAGATTTTCCTATGGGGTTTTTCAATTAAAATAAAGCCTGTGGTAAACATAACTTGACGATACTTTTACATTTAGTTGTACAACGTAAACTACAAACATCCATACTCAAAATACAAATTTTGAAGCAGTTATGTTCATTTTTGAAAACATACGTTTTTAATAAGAAGGTTTAAAGTAGGAAGGTTTAGGCTGTGAGTGTGTGCAGTTTATATTGTAGAACAAAACGTAGAAGTATCGTCAAGTTATGTTTACCACAGGCTTTATTTTGTTCATAAATTGAAAAACCCCATAGGAAAATCTCAAAGGAACCTGCAGCGAATTACACTTCCTGGTTATGACGTCATAGTTCCCCCACTCTATTTCAGATCTATTAATGCACTTAATACTTACATTTCATGTCCTGAAGAACAGTTCTCCTCACACACGTACACTGGGAGAGCATGTTGACATCATGTAAACAAAAAAAATAAACATGTTAAACAAGCAGGCCAACTTTATTTTATATACAATGAAGACAGTGATGGAGGTAGTTAGTGTTTGTGAATTTGCACTCACCTGAAGATCAAACATTTCGAATGTCATGCAACATCTGTGAAATCTTGCTGGTGTGTGCCACTTTCTCTGATATGGTTAAACTCAGCACAAACCTAGAAAACCACTAACACGCACAAGTAAGTGTATAACCCACAAAGGATGTAGAAAAGAGAAAGCAGAATCTGTGTCCTGTTATGTGAGCACACATCACAACTTGCTCTTCAACTAAATAGAAGTTACCTTAAGTGTTGAGGCTCACTCTTTTGTATTCATCATCCAGCTCAGCCTGCAATTAAAGAAAGTTTGTAAAGGTTTACTACAAGTTTGTAGATTGCTTTTGTAAATGTAATATATTGCAAAGTTCATGTCTGTGTATTAGCTTTAACCTAATTTTGGATTAATACTCTTAGCAGCTAGTTGTTTAAAAACAGACAATCACATTTACCAGGGCATTTCCCAAAAAAAGCATTGTATAGCTAAGATGATAGTAGAAACATTTGACACCAAATGGTCTCAATGGTCTCTTTTGAGTAACGCAGCCCTAAACATTGCAGTTAACAGCAGCGACATTCAAAACGTACGTTAGGACTGCGTTTACTGAAAAAATGCCGGCTAACGTTAACATTAGTGCCCTTCTTTGACGTTAACATTATACTATAAGCAGTGACGCTAAAATAGCATTTAAAATGCGCATTCAAAAGCACTAGGGCAGTGATGGGCAAACTTGCCCTTCCAGGCCACTTTCCTGCAGAGATTTGATCCAACCCTGATAAAACTCACCTGCCTGTAGCCTTCTAGTAGTCTTGAAGACAATGATTAGCTGGTTCAGATGTGTTTGATTAGGGTTGGAGCTAAACTCTTCAGGAAAGTGGCCAAGAAGGGCCAAGTTTGCCCACCCCTGCACTAGGTAAATGCCGTGCTTTACAGCGCTGTGTAAAAACAGCTTTTCCCAAAAATGAAAACATTCCTTTATCATGATATTCTTACAACACTCAAAAAGCAAATAAGAAATTTTCACAGTTGTTTTGATTTACTTAGAAGTTGTTCCATTAAGTTTGCGATTATCTGCCATGTTGAATGGATTCTTCTGAACGTCGGTTCTTCTTCTTGTTGTTGTTCTTCTTCTTCTTCTTCTTCTTCTTCTTCTTCTTCTTCTTCTTTGGGTTTTAACGGCAGCTTGCATTCTTCTTCTTCTTCTTCTTCTTCTTCTTCTTCTTCTTCTTCTTCTTCTTCTTCTTCTTCTTCTTCTTCTTCTTCTTCTTCTTCTTCTTCTTCTTCTTCTTCTTCTTCTTCTTCTTCTTCTTCTTCTTCTTCTTCTTCTTCTTCTTCTTCTTCTTCTTCTTCTTCTTCTTTGGGTTTTAACGGCAGCTTGCATCCTTAACGTTGCATTACCATAGACATAATAAATACCTAGACGCCTCATTGGCTGCTCGACCGCACGTCAACGTCGCTGCCATATTGGTGAAGGCAACTCTCATATCGGGACAGGCGAAAACATACCTGACTCGTCGGCAGCTTGGGCATCTACAAACCGTCGCACAATAATAAAAACAGACCTCGGGGTATTATCTTTCACAGGTAAGACTGAACAGTTGTTTCTGTATGTTTTTTGGTCATTTTTAGCTTTATGTTGACAGCTTAATTAGCCACCAGTGTCAGACTATTAATAGCTAGCGATATCGTTAGTAAGCTGTGAAAGCTGAGACTATATGAAATCAAAGTTTAAATGAATTCTTAAGTTTTAACTTTTATATTGTAGTTTATATCATAAAGTAAATGGTGTTATGAGCACAATATGTACAGTGAGCACTTTGACAAGACAATGCCAGACTGTCAGGATTAGGGATGGAGCTAAATCATCTCTCTTTAATTTCACTAACGTTACTTACTTACAAAGAGTAAGTTTATCATCACTTGATTATAAGGATTTCATAG